ACCGGCTCTTTTCCTGTTTGATGACCCGTCGACGTAGAGGTTCCAGGTCGATAGGTTCTGAATAGTTTCTTGCCCGACTTCGCTAGACTGTTGCTCGCTAGGGAGATAGGAAAATTCCGAGATGAAGTCTGCAACAGCCTGCCCTTTGATAGTCGACCTGGGCGTATACCTTAGTCGAACTGGCTCAGCTCCATGGCCCATTTGAGCAGTTTACCTGAGGCCTCCGTTTCTGAGGACCTGCCTGAGAGGGTAACTCATCATTACATTGATTGTTGGGCGTGGAAGTAAGGTCACAGCTTTCTGGACCGCCCAGCAGGGCAAAAGCTAGTCGCTCCATTTCCGGGTACCGTATCTCGGCATCCGTATACGCTTACTTGCGTATATACCGACCACTGAACTTTTTCCTCTTCCCGTATTAAAGCTGCACTGACCCGAACTGAGACACGGACAGGTAGATGAGCAGGATTTCTTGTGGAAGAGGCTTAGAGAGGAGAGGTGGCTTCCCAAATGCTCTTTTATACTCTGGAATGCCTGCTCGCATTCGGAAGTCCACTCGAATTTCTTATTGGCTTTCAGAACATTGAAGAATGGTAAAAGCGGTCTGTTGCCTTGATATGAAGCGACTAAGTGCCGCTATTCGCCCGTTCAGACTCATGACCTGCTTTTTTGTGGTCGGGCTTTCCATGTCGAGTAGAGCTTGAATCTTTTCGGGGTTTACCTCTATGCCCCGCTGATTGACCATATATCTCAGGAACTTTCCTGACGACTCTGAACGAACATTTGAGAGGGTTCAGCTCATTCTGTAGAGTCGGAGTATGTCAAACATCTCAGCAGATGCGAAATATGCTCTGTGGCGACCTGGGATTTGACCAGCATGTCGTCCCAATAGACCTCCATTGTCCTCCCGATCTGGTCGGAGACCATTCGGTTGACTAACCTCTGATAAGTCGCACCCGCATTCTTGAGGCCGAAGGGCATGACTTTGTAACAGTACAGCCCCCGTTCCGTAATGAAGGTCGTATGTTCCTCATCTGGCTTATACAGTGGATTTGGTTGTATCCTGAGTATGCATCCATGAAGCTTAACAGCTCGTGCCCCGAGGTGGCGTCAACGAGCTGGTCGATTCTTGGCAGGGGGAAGCTGTCTTTCGGGCAAGCTTTATTCAGGTCGCTGAAGTCTACGCAAGTCCGCCACTTGCCATTTGGCTTTTTTACCAGGACCGGGTTAGCAACCTAGGTCGGTAGAGAGCCTCGCGAATAGATCCATTGCGAGAAGGTTCTCCACTTCTGATTTTAATGCGGCGTACCGCTCCGGATCCATTGCCCTTCTCTTTTGGCGAACGGGCTTAGCTTCACTGCTGACGTTCAGTGAAGGGCAAATAACGTTCGGCGGATCCCGGCCATATCTGTATGCGACCAGGCACGACACATCAATGTTCTCCTTCAAGAAGCTTACCACTCGGAAGCGGCTGAGGTTGAGACAACTTCCGATCTTAACATTCGCTCGGCTCTTTTGGATCAACCGAAACTTCGGACAGATCCTCAACGGCCGCTCGGGGGGATTTCCTGAATTGGCGGATCTATATTATCCTCTGCCGGACCAGGCTGTGGCTCGATCCGGCTGATCGCCATAGCTTACGGGTGCACACCGCGAAATGCCCTTTCCTTTGTCGGCCATCAGACGGATTTTACATAGCTTCGCGAGATGCGCTTTGTGATCCGCTTACCTCCCCTATCCCCGTTGGAGTGGGGAACTTCATCTTGAGATGATAAATGGAAGTGACTGCCCTGAAAGTTCTCAGTAGAGGTCGCCCCAGGATTCCATTGAAGGCCGATGGCCAGTCCACGACCAAGAATTTTGTAACCCTAGTCACCTCGTCGTGTCGCCGACGTGACTGGGAGCTGGATTGTTCCACTGGGGATCAGGTGATCCCCTGTAAAACCATACAGAGGCATCGAGGCTGGCTTCAGGTCGGCCTCGACCAGGTTCATTCTATCGAAAGCGGACTTGAACAGAATGTTCACAGCGCTTCCGTTTGTCCACAAGCATTCTGCAGACATTATGACACCCTATCAGGGGCGTGATTACCAGAGCATCCTCGTGGAGGATGTGCAAGTGAGCTGCCTCTTTCTCACAGAAGGTGTCGGTTCCTCTTTTCGGGCTTTTGGAGGTCGCTGCGCGAATTATTCATTACTCTGATTGGTCATGGCGCGCTTCGCGAACATATCTTTCCTGCGCTCCTCGCGTGTTTCCCGCGAGGTGCGACCTCCGAAGATTATGTTAACACTGTCGTACCCGCTGCGATCACGACGCTTTTTCTTTCGCTCCCCTTGGTTTTCTTTTGGGGAGTCATCATGTATTCCTTGAAGTGCCCCTTCTTGATGAGCTCTTCGATAGCCTGCTTTAGAGCTCGGCACTCATCGTTGAATGCCCATTTTCCCGATGATAACGGCAATACTTTTGTTGTTTCTAGCTGTAGCGGGGTTTTCATTGGTTCAGGCTCACCGAGCAGGCTAGCTTCCCGATTTGTCGAGGATCGCAGATATGGACACATTCAACGGAGTGTAGTGTCACGTCGCAGTCGCGACGGGGGACAGGAGCATAGGACTTTTTCTGCTCGTAGCGGGGTTTCTTCCCTTTTCGCTGCCCGTCAATGTCTCCCTTGCGATCAGCTCGCCTATTGTCTCCCCGACCTGACATACACTGGAAGTCCGTGATCGGACGGGGGAGTGCCGCCAGTGAATTCTCTATTCGGAGATACTTTTCTGCCAGGTTATAGAATCTGGTGAGGGAAATATCGTCCTCAGCCTGCATTTCTTTCCACAGTTCGGTTTGCGGGCGAACTCCAACTATTATAAGATGTCGGATGGACTCTTCTGGTGCGTGACCACTTTGTTGAGCTCCCTGTGGAAGCGATCAATGTAAGACTGCAGGGATTCGTCTCTTTCTTGCCTTATATTGCAGGTAGCTCAAAGGCATTGAAAATTTCCGGTTGGCTTGGAAATGCCGCAGAACGTCGTGCTCATCTGAGGCACGAACTGATCGATCCCGCTGGGAGCGACCTTAACCACCGTTTGCATGAAAGTCAGCATCACGGCCAAACAAGGCATTTCACAAGGTCCGAAACCTGGTGGAGCTCCATCAGGTCGTTGAACTCATATAATGTCCAGCGGATCATAGTTTCCATCAAACGGCCACATATCTGGCATTCTGAACCCTGGTGGAAGTGGAGCAGCTAGCACTTCAGAGAAAATGGGGATGTAGAGGCGACCTGCGCTTTTCGTTTCGCTGCTCCCTTAACCTGTCCAGAGCTCGCTGTAGCTCCTCAATTTGTGGTAACGGAGCCATACCTGGGTTGTTTTCACCCATGCAAGCCCGCCTTCCCGGTTGCGGTTCAGGAGAGTTCGAGGTCGGATCCCTCCTCGCCTCGGCTGGTATTCTCAGCCGCGCTTGACACATGCTGACTAGAGGCGTGTAAGGTGATGTATGTGGCGGGGCATTTTCACGACCCTCGCGGTGGTAGGAACCGCCCCACGAGGTATGGAGCCCACCCGCATGAGAACGATCGGGATCGTTCTGCTGGTGGTGATCGGAATCATCGCGCCCAGCATTTTCGGTCGGTTTGCTTGCGACGTGCATGGGACAGCTCAGGATCCACTTTTTCACCGAGTCTCAGCTTTGCCGACACCCTGCTCGGGCGCCTTTTGTATTCGCTGGCCCTTGGGAGCCCGTAGGCTTACTTTTTGCCACTTGCTTACCCTTGCGTTTACGCGCTGCAGTGCTCACGGCACGGATCGCCCTTTGCCGCACTTTCGCGGGACCTGCAGGCGTTTTTGGCGGTTGTACCGCTCCCTGTTTTAGATGACATGCCTGGTCCAGACGATCCAACCTCTGGTTGACCGTCTGGAAGTATTGTCGAACCTCTCCAGGTAGCTTCTGATGGCAGGTCCAATTGCGGAGCTGTCGGGGTATTCCCACAGCATTTTGCGAAACTGGAGGTATGTTGGAAGGGGTGTCCCTCTGGGCTGGGGGACTCCTTCAGCATGTTGGTTCCCTTGCTCAGTTCAGATTGGCGGGCCATTGTAGCTGTAAGACCAGTAGGTCAAAGATTCTCCTGATGAAGGTAGACGCTAAATCATGCCTCTCCTCTAGCGCCAAACTGTTGATGCTCGTTTTCGGCACCAACCAATTGTCACGTGGGTATTACTATTTGATGAATTAACACACTGATAATGGATATATGAAGTGAAATAAATGCAAAAAAGACTTTAAAGTGGTTCGGATGCTAAGGTAGCAAGTCCTACGTCCACTGATTTGTATTGATATATGTGGGTCAGTCGCAAGCGGACTGACTACATAGAGTTATGAAAAATAAGTGTCTTTTACAAGAGAGAGAGAGAGTTTTTTCTATGTAAAGAATGGCTGAATCCCCTTAATGGAGGGGTCTTCTTCATTTTATATCAAACTGAAGCGTGTTCATCATTAAATCCATGGGTTGGTGTGATTGTCAGGATATAATCTGGCTTTATGTCCCATTCCCCTCTTCCCAAGCTGACTTCGCACGATTTGCTGCAGGGAAACGGACGCGTGTGACTCCAATCATGCGGCAGATCTAACGTGTACTGTTTGCCTGCGGGAGCAGGTCGCCCTTCACACGATTTTCCCACGTCAGCCCTTTTTTTCCCAGCATAACATTTTTAAACAGCGGAATTATTAAAAAACATATAGATCAAAAATATTTGTCTCGTTTAAGACTTTCTATGGAGCTAAGATCAAAAGAAACAAAGTCACCAAAAATTACAGAGAAATAATTTCAGAGATGAATAGATATCGGAAGTTTCCTATTCAGGATTAGTTGACTATTTCTTTGTCTCTTCTTCTCCAGCTTCTACTCACCTAAATTTATTCCCTCGTTTCCATCTGAATTTCCCTCTTATTTTAATCCCATAAAACTATTATTATTCTGTTGCCAAGTCCCTTTCATTCCAATTTCTTTACCTTATCATTCCATAAACCTCTACCTGCTTCTTCATTTTTGTTTCTTCCTTTCTTTCCATTTCCCATCTGGGTTTACTTTTCCAGGAAGTTTTGTGTCCATGGGGCAGGAAACCAAGAAGCTTTCCGACGAATACGAAGTCACGGACATTCTCGGAAGAGGAGGATTCTCAGTCGTCAGAAGAGGAGTAAGAAAAATAAGTGGTGAAAAAAATACTGTAGCCATCAAAACACTCAAAAGAGTTTCCCAATCTACTCCATATGCAATTCCAGGCGGCCGCGGCCGTGAGAAAAGCTTAGCTTCAATCGGTTTCTTGGCCCGGAAGCAAGCCTCAATTTCGGATGCTTTACTGACAAACGAGATCCTGGTGATGAGAAAAATCGTTGAAAACGTTTCGCCGCATCCGAATGTTATAGACCTCTACGATGTGTATGAGGATCAAAGTGGAGTTCATTTGGTCCTGGAACTTTGCTCCGGGGGGGAATTGTTTGACAGGATTGTGGCTCAGGAAAGGTATTCGGAGGCTGGAGCCGCGGCGGTGGTGAGGCAGATTGCGGAGGGGTTGTGGGCGCTACACAAGGCGAATATTGTGCACAGGGATTTGAAGCCTGAGAATTGTTTGTTCTTGAGTAAAGATGAGGATTCTCCATTGAAGATTATGGATTTTGGATTGAGTTCTGTGGAGGGTTTTACTGATCCTGTTGTTGGGTTGTTTGGTTCTATTGATTATGTTTCTCCGGAGGCTCTGGCTCAGGATAGAGTTACTTCCAAGAGTGACATGTGGTCTTTGGGAGTGATTTTGTATATCTTACTTTCAGGGTATGTTTTTACTTCTCAAGTTTATGTCAAAATCTTATAATTGTGTGGTTTTGATTATTGTTTTTAAGATACACGTTATAACCACTTTTTATATTTATATCTCAGTTTAACAATATCATTTATCAATCAAGAATATTTTACTATATGAAATTTAACTTTATCTTTGCTTATAATAGCTAAAAGGATTTTACTACCAATAAATATCTCTAAACTTTATAACTTATAATACATGGTAAGACTAAGGTTCTATGTTACAACTAACATATAGTGGTAAAAGTTTATTGTTTAACATTACAAGTCAATTCTTGGAACTGCAAATTTATATCCTTTAAAAAGTATAATGTGAATTGGTTTCATATTATACAAAAGAGAAAAATGGTTTGATTATTTTTGATAATTTTCCTCTTGCAACATTGACAACCAATCCCTTATGTGTAATTATCAGGATTTCCAACTTGTACAGTTCTGATATTTGAAATTCCTGTATTACATTTCAGGTATCCACCTTTCATTGCACAGTCAAATAGGCAAAAGCAACAAATGATAATGGCCGTATGTATAATACAACTTATTCTTCTATCACTAAACAGATAGATAATCTTGTTAATTTGTTTAACAATGGGAGGAAATCCTGATTTTATGTCCAGGGAGACTTCAGTTTCTATGAGAAGACTTGGAAAAACATTTCTTCATCAGCAAAGCAATTGATTACAAGTCTCTTGACAGTTGATCCTCACAGAAGGCCTAGTGCTCAAGAGGTATGCTCTCTTCTTTTGCCCTGGGGTTCCACTATGTTACTGTCCCGGTAACATACCAGATTGTGGTCATGGGCATCTAATGGTTATAACTGTCCTGGTATTGTTACCGAGCCAGTAGCCATAAGAAATTCCCTATTTGATCTTTTGTAGAGCAAGGTTTAGGGTTTGATATTTTGGAGAGCAAGTTAACATACCGGGCCAGTCTTCACTCTTGGGTTGTGGTCATGGGCATCTAATGGTGGAAACTGTCCTGGTAATGTTACCAAGCCAGTAACATAGGTATTCCCCCATTTGATCTTTTGGAAAGCAAGGTTCGAAAACTAAGATATAAACAATTAAGTGATTGATTATAGCTGCATTTGATAGCAGGAGGAACATCATATCTGACAAGTGCCATTAATACTTGAGTAATACTAACCTTATAAAGAGTTATACAAAGAGTCAAATCCAACTAAGGAAAAAAGAGAGAGAGAAAGAAACAATCATGAATTTCAAAGGTTAGATTTGGCTCTTTGTATGCTTCTTTGTAAGGCTAGTATTACTCTTAATACTTACCACACCACATAGATAATTTCTTCAATACCCAACATTTAGTGGAAAGATTGTGAATTACTTTTAACCCATTTTCTTAGTTTGGATTTTGTTTAAGTTGTTTAAACAAAAGAATGAATAGGAGGGAAAAAGGAAAAACAAAAATTTAGTTTGATACTGTGTTTGCTGAACCCTTAGTACATTTAAGACCTAAGATCCCCTGTTCAATATGTTTGTTGAAACAGCTCCTGAACCATCCATGGGTGATTGGTGATTCCGCAAAGGAGGAGCAAATGGATGCAGAAATTGTTTCACGACTGCAGAGTTTCAATGCTCGTCGCAAGCTTCGTGCTGCAGCAATAGCCAGTGTGTTGAGCTGCACATTTTTCTTGAGAACAAAGAAGCTGAAAACTTTGTTAGGTTCCCATGACCTTACAGAGGAGGAGATTGAGAATCTCCGGGTACATTTTAAGAAAATGTAAGCAATCAAACTATTCTGTCTAGTTTTCTTAAACAAAAATATGCAAACACGATAGGAGAAGCACAAATTCTTCTTTTAAGCTAAAAATACGTTCACCTTTCTAAGCAATGAGTGCTATTATATCACTACAGAAACTATTTTTACAGGCTCTGACATGATGTATATTTGAGTGCAGATGTGCAAATGGTGACAATGCTACTCTAACTGAATTTGAGGAGGTGCTGAAAGCAATGAATATGTCATCACTAGTACCTCTAGCACCACGTATCTTTGACCTGTTCGATAACAATCGTGATGGAACAGTTGACATGAGAGAGATACTGTGTGGATTTTCCAGCCTCAGGAATTCTCGAGGAGACGATGCTCTTCGTCTGTGCTTCCAGGTGCATTTCCTTCCCTCTTTTCAAATTGACTTATTGCCAGCACATCTTCAGCAAAACAAACATGTGCTATATAATTGAGCGTGTTCTGTTCATATGTTGAAGATCATAAACAGAACTCACTTGAAAACTGCAACTAGGAGTTCTACATGGATGGAACAACATTGCGTTAAATGAAATGAAGCAGCCAGAATAATTCAACTAAAACTCAAATTTGTCACCAGATGCAGAGAAAAACAAAGAAAATTTTCCCATTCTACTCAGAAATTCAACCTCTTGGAAGTTCTATATCTGTCTTTGCCTTCTCGGCAACCAGCAGAAGCATATAAACTCCTGTCCAATTATTGATTTCTTGATTACCATATCCAAAATCATACATTGAATCTTGTCACTACATACACTGAGAAACTATGGCAATAGTTTTTTCCTGATACTCCAACAAACTTGTATAAACAACCTAGAAGAAAGTATTCATTCAAAGCTAATTATACCTTCTTCTTTTCCTGACAGATGTATGATACAGATCGATCAGGATGCATCACAAAGGAAGAAGTAGCATCCATGCTTAGAGTAAAGCAACTGCCCTAAACTCCCATAAAAGTCATCAAACTTACTAACTTTTGTCATTACCTTCAATATAAGTCTGACAGAGATTATTCTGTGCAGGCTTTGCCCGATGATTGTCTTCCAGCTGATATTACGGAGCCTGGAAAACTGGATGAGATATTTGACCTGATGGATGCCAATAGTGATGGAAAAGTCACATTCGACGAGTTCAAAGCTGCCATGCAGAGAGACAGCTTGCTCCAAGATGCTGTGCTTTCCTCTCTTCGCCAGCAATAGTTTTTCATTCACCATTATCTTTCTAATAAAGTTCTTGTTTTTTATTCCTTTTTTTTCTTCTTCTTAAATTATCTTTCTTCTAGGATTTATGCTACATGCATAGAAACTGGTGGCCAGGAGAGGTTAAACGGTAATTTATTCAAGTTTATTTGAGTTTGGATACAATTTTTTACCATCTAGATTACTGTAACTATCTGTATTATACAAGTAGGGGAAGACCTATTTACCTATTAATGCTCACTTGCTCTTTGCATAATCCTACATATATATATATATAAGGAAGAGAACCAGAGAACTGCTTCAAAGATTACTAAACACAAAGTGCCTTATGTTTATTAGTTGAAAGGAGCCACATTTGTTTCTGTTAAAGATATAAAAGAAAATTACGGGGAACCAATCTTTATCTTTTACACGAGTTTTTCAAATATGAAAACCAATAATATTGGCAGAACAGGGAAGCAATAGAATGAAATCTTGCTCCTAGAAGAGTTAAATATTTTCTCATTAGACAGTCCTTGAATTAAAAAATATTAATAAAATTAAGTCACCTTGAATTGGAGACAAACAAATTATAGTTGGATGAATGATATTGGTGAAGAGCATCCTTAAAACAACAGAAAATTTACAGCATTCAGTAGATACATCATGTTTGAAACTATGAAATATATGTTTAACATGGCAAAATTTAACATGTTTGAAACATAAATACTACTACAGAAATAATAGAAATGTAGTTGAAGGTTAAGAAGAGATTGAATGATTGTGTCATGTTTTTCAGCCAATATGCAAGAGATATGACAATAAGAACAAGTACAAGTAGCACAAATAGCTATCCATTCCATTAGCATATGCAAACCTTGCAGCAGTATCAAATTCAGTTCCATCTATATGGTAACGTTAAACAGTCATTTTTAAGGTAATACTATTTATACTGTCAACTTTACAAATATGATTTATATACCATATGTTAGTTCGGGCTAAACAATTCTAGCCTTCAGAGATAGAAAGATTGAGTCAATCAATAGCATTACAATAATTCAGCTAAGTAGCCTAGAGTGTGAAGCTCGCAAACTAAGCTAAGAAAAAAAAAAAAAAAAAAAAGATTTATGTGTATTACTCCAATTCTCATGAAACGGAGCACAAGTTACAACAGCAAAACAAGTGCTAGAATGCGTTTTTCCTCATATGGAGAACTATTAATTTTGCCCATTGATTTACAAAGACTAGTTTTCATGAAAGGGGAAAAAGAAAGGTTTTATTAGAGCAAGACTTATCTTCGCACAGCAACACTTGATGCACAACACATGATATCAATTTTATAACAATTCTTCCTTTTCCAATTTTTTGTTTTCCTTTTCTTTTCAGTTTAACCAACAAGAGCTAGACAAAGAGTCCATCTTTAAAGATAAACTGGATAATGTTTAAGTACAAGATCAACAAAAATTAAACTTGACAGCATAAAAGGTACTAGTTAGTGTCTTAGTAAAGATATATACAACAACACGCTTTTGTTTCAAGTCAAAGTGAAAGCTTTCAATGTACAAGTTTCTGGTTAACTCCACTAAAAAGCATCAGGATTGCTCAGTAAATTAAGCAATGCACAACAAGATACACTAGAATGAAAATATAATCATAATCACATTCAAACATTGTATAAAGCACCTAACTGCTTAATACAACTTTTTTGTTTCCTAAAGAGATTAAAAAATTAAAGGCACTATAAATCATCACTTTCATCAATACCTTTGGTGCCATCACTGCTTCTCTCCTCCGAACTGTCAATGGAATCATCCATATTTTTCACTTCATGATGAACCAATGTCTGCTCACAGGGTACTGTTACATCCATCCAGCTCAGATCCTCACCCTCCACGGATCCCATGTCCTCCACCCAATCTCCAATGTTTGCATCCATAGCTTCTAAGCATATAGGATCAAGTGTTTCTTTTGAACTCCTGGCTTTAACTCCTTCTGCTCTCCTGTTTGCATAGAGGAAACGCCAATGGATGAGCCTAGATTTTCCAAGCATATACATCAAGGAAAGAAAGTGCTAAATCAAGACAAGAGAATGACAAAAATGTGGAAGGTTTTCAACCAGAAGAAGCAACATCAAAATAAAAAATTCAATTAATAAAACAATGTAAAACCTAAAAATTTGAAACAAAATACCCATGAGTACAGCCACTAAATAAAGAAATTGGCATAAGAAATAAAATTCCTTGAAAGAGAGCAGAAGATAGATAAAAGGACAGCACTAAGAAGTCTAGCCTCGAGAGTGCTATGTTAGTTCTGTTCCTTTCCAAGGCTTTCAATCTCAGCTGGGTGCTGCTTATTCTTGATCCTTTCTTATTGAAAGAATTACGCTTTAGGAAGAATAAAAGAGCAGTAGTCTTGCAGGACTCTGCAATATTGGCCCTTTTTTGAGGAATTTTAAAAGGGGAGGATATCATTTCTTGTGAGCAAAGGTAAATTCTTGAGCTTCCTTGTAGACCCGTGTTCTTCAGAATTTAAAGACACTTCTTTCTAGCCATTCCACAAATGAAGTTGTTCCATACAATTAGGAGCTGCAAACTCCTAATCCTTTGTTGCTTTTTTTTTTTTTTTTTTTTGGCATGGGTGTTCCTTGGTTTTCTCTGTTTCTGTAACTAGAAACAAAAGCTAATAGATACTGTCTTTATAATTTTTGTACCTAGATACAGAGGTTAAAAGTTCTATATTTCTGATCCCCAAGTGGATAACCAGTTCAACTAATTTAACATCTTTAGGTCACTACTATAAAATTATTTGTTTCCTAATAAAAAAAGTAAGGATATGCAAAGTTACCTCTGCTGGAGTTGCAGGTTGTAGTGAACAAATAAGAGATCATTCAACCTCTGGTGTTCCAACCGATTCCTTTTCTTTGAATATATACGTTCAAACATACTCCAACTCCTTCCACATCTGATGATGCTACAGGATTGACTTAATATCCTGACAGCTAACCGTTGCAATTCAGGGTAATCAGCTGCATACAGAGACCACCAAGTAGCTACAAAGAAAACCAAATTCATAACCATCAAATTTTCATTGTGTGCAATAAAGAAGTAAAATTTGATAGACCGAAAGAAATAGATGCTGACCTGGGGCCAATGACTCTCGACCACGTAAAGCCACAGGTCGGCCAAAATCTCCCACTGCTTCCTCATATGAATTTATTTGGCTTGTAATCGTAACTTGAGAAGATATATCAGGCTCTAAGGTTTCAATGCAGTCTAGTAATCCTTTTTGGATGACTTTGTTAGAGGAAAAATTAGCTTTGTAGAATACAGATGGGTTGAGATAGTAAGCAGCTGCATGAAGAGGGCTATGGAATTCTTCCTGCCAAATAAGATCAATAACCCTGAAATATGGCATGAATTCTGATTCATCATTGTCAAATGCCATAATGATGGTCTTCTTTGCTTTTTCCATAGCATCAAATATGTAACCAACAGATGGTCGCTCTTCACAGTCCATAAGATGTAAAAATGAAAGTAAAGGCTTGGTGACCTTCAGAATTTGGTCACTTTGTAACCAGAAGATAGGGTCTACAATGGTTTCTGCCACCTCAACCCCTCCTCTTTGCTTAGAGAAACTTGACTGTATCCAGGCTGTACCAGTGAACACTTGATGGAGATGGTCCTTCAAAGATACAATGTTTTCTAGTGTTAGAAAGATGGAAGTAAACCGTGTAACTGAAAGCTGGAGAATATCCCTTCCACCTGTTTTCTTTCTCATTAAATTGAGGACCCAAGCATTGTTATATATGAACTGAGTTATTCTTTTAGCCTTTACTAAAATCTCATTCACTTCATCCATTCTTCCAATTTCTTCAAGCATCCTGTCAATACATTGCACTCCACATGTGCTGCAGAAAAATGTTCTGTATTTGTCCATTAAGAGTTTTCCTGCAGTTCTACTAATTGGTGAAGTATCAGTCACAAAATTTACAATATTCTTAGGCCCAACTCCTTGAACAATGCTGTCAAACAAATTCAGAAGCGCTTCAGAAGATTTTGTGATGTCTGATGCATCAACAGATTTGAGGAACAAGGTTCCTTTGGGGCAATAAACAAAGAAATTGAATGCTGTACGACCTGTTTTGTCCATCCACCTATCAACTAGGACTGAACATCCTGTCACCTCCCAAGTCTTTCTCAGTTCTTCACAGTATGCCCCTGCATCCTGAACAATTCTGTTCAACAATTTACTCCTCAAAGAGTGATAAGAAGGCATCTTATAACCCGGACCCACGGCAGCAATAGCATCAGCCATCTGTTGAAAGAAATAAGAATTTGAAGCAGAGAATGGTAAGCCAGCGTCATACATAAATCTTGCAACAGCCATATCAGCTTCATTGATGCTCTCTTGTGAAGCAAAATTCTGATGAAGAGGTTGAGCAACAAGAGGTGTAGCAGTTGGAAACTTTTGCTGTTTACGTCTCTTTGTTCGCTTGGAGGTTCCTTCCACAATCTGTTTTCCCCTTCTCCTGCTAGTGCCCTGCACAGAAGGCGGCTTCTCAGTTCGCAATGCATCGTCATCATCATCTCCTTCTTCCATACCCTCAAAGTGTGGTACAAAAGAGTTCTTGCCACTTTTTAAACCTTTCTGCCTTTTTAGCTTTTCCAGAACTTTAAAACCTAAATGTTGTTGAATTTGTAGTTTAACCTCATCAGGTACTTCTTCACATGGAGCTACGTTTCCCCTTTCACCAGCCAAATGTTGCTTTAGTCTGGAGATTCCACCCCCAAGAAAAACTTTATGACAATATTTGCACTTAATCTTCTGCCTACCCCCATTCACCATGGTTCCATGTGCCCAGCCAGGATCTGTCGCTCGAGGGGGTGTTAAACCCTAATGAAAATTACAAGGTCAAAGGTGAAAACATAAAACATGGATAGTAATACAGATTGTGTATATATATAGGAAAGGAAAGCATATGCGAAGATCTAAGTTGCTCACTTTGTTATCCTTGTGTTGCATAGCTGGAAAAGTGTCAATTAATTCTTGAGTTTCCACCATAAGCTATCAATATTCTGATTGAAGCCACAAGAGCAGAACATTATTAAACAGATAGCAGAACAGGAGAATTATAAACATATATTAAAAAACTTAATCTAAATCTTCATTTCCCTGACCAAGCAATGGTGGACAACTCTTAAAGATGACGCCAACAATTCAAAATTGCAAAGAAAACAACTCGTCAACTACTATAACTGCCTTTTACACTGATGCACCACAGCCTAATTATTTAACACTCCCAAAGCATGTGTTCACGGCTAATATAAAGTTTACCGCTGCAGAACAATATAACATGTCAACAAATGAGCATGGTCAAGAACACTAAATTGACTTCTCCATTTCTCAAGCAAAAGCTTCTAACCAGCTCACTTGAAATTTTACAATATCGAGCATTATTGATACGAGAAGGCATTCAGGCACGGTGGAAGTATCGCATTAATTAATCAGATAACAGCATAAAACAACACAAAACTCTAATGTTCGCATTGAACTATATTATATTGTATTGTACCGTATAATATCATATTACGGTAAATACTATACTGTGTTTAGTGCGACATCGGATAATGCGCCTACGAATACATTGAACGGTGTTTATAAATTTGCAATTTAGAACAAGCACAAAAGCAACTCCCAACAATGAAATCCATTGACGTTGTACTCATTTTATCATATTTCTACATTAAAAAAAAAAAAAACACACACACACACTTTTAAGCAAATTCATTTCCAAGAATATAAAAAAAATCAACTCAAGCCAACACAAAACTAACTATTTCACTTCTACACTTGAAACTAAGCTCATAACAATACTGTGATCAGACGCACTTTTGACACACTCCTAAAAGCATTTTCATATGGTTAAAAGTGCTTTTTTGTTAATTGTGCAGCATTTGTCAAAATGTACCTTCTTAAAGGGCACTTCCAAGTACTATTTTTCATCATAAAGTGCTTTTCTACTTCAATTTAATTAATTAACAATAAAGATTAAAAAAATAGACAGTAAAAACCAAAAACCAGATGCTTCAGATCCAGGACCTGTTGATTTTTGCTTAATAATAGTAAAGGAAAAGAAAATACCGGAAAAGAGAAATTTCGCTAGACGCCGAAATATCGGAATCCGCCTCCGAAGAATTGGATCTGAAACACCTACCGTCCGAATCGTGAAACACAAACTTCCGATCCGGTAAGAGGTGAATTTCGGCGATATTTAAAAGTTTTAAGCCATTTACTAATGTTGTTTCGGGGTGTGAAGTGCCGGAGACTCGGGTTAACGATGGCATAGAGAAGATAATGTACGTTGTTCTACTCGTACCGTTTCGTTTCGTACCGTTTCAGATTTTAAATTTTAATTTCTGTTGTTTCTAAATTTTCATTATGTTTTACTGATGGGCTTTTTAGAAAAATAATTTACTATTTTTTTATTATTAAGCAAATAAATTTTTAATTAAAACGTTTGGTAATTCTGAATTGGAGAACTATGTCAAGGCAGTGAAATTCTGGTAATTTTATAGTCAATGTTTTGAAAATCGGACCGGATAATGACCCGTTCAAGGATCTGATTTTCGATTTGACCGGTTTGACTGGTTGGATCGGTCAGTTGGACCGTAATTTATATAGTTTTTGTAGTCCCTAAAGGTTTGAAATTCATCAAAAACACCCCTATAGTGCTCCCTTAAGGTTTGAAATCTATCTAAAACACCCCTGTCACGCAAAGATTCTGGTGAGTGGTGACGGCAGCGACGATCGACGGCCAATCGAAGTGGAATCTTGGGGCTTTTGATGTGCAGGTGTCGGCGACTGTTGGTGGTGCTACGAAGTTCCATCGGCGTCGGAACTAGCCGGAATCAACAAAGAAATCCGACGTCGCGTAAAGCCGTAAACTTTAGGTGGATGGCGATCGACGAAGGCTGGATGACGGCAACTAAAAATGGATGGATTTGGTCGTGGAGATCTCGTCCATCAAATGAGGGTATTTTCTCTGTCGAAAGATGTCGGAATTTAGCTGGGTTTAGCTGCGATTGGACCGCGATTGGACTGCTATTCGACACTATTCCGATGATCCAACAACGGTCCAACAGCAGTCCAATCCAGTTTAACTCCAAATAATGGTTTTTTATATATGTCGGACCGGATTTGCCGTCGGTTGCCAGTCGAACCGGTCCTATCGGGTGGTCCGATCCGATTTTCAGAACACTGGTTATAGTTACCTATAGAAAAATAAATAAAAGCCTTGAACATTGTAATTGAAATCAGTGATTAGAAAGCCGACCCTTGCACTGACCCGGCCAGGCCACCAGGTCACGGGTCGAGCAGTTTAATAGGTTTGATTGGCGGGTTAAACCAGTGTCTATAGATGTAAAATCAAACAAAATCACCCCTGAAAGCTTCTTAAGTCCCCCATAGGTTTGAAATCTTGCATAAATACCCCAAACACCACTGTTAGCATCGGCAAATAGGGCTTATTTCCGGCAACGACAACACTCCCCGTCATTACAAAAACACTCCCCTTAGTCTCCTAACTAAAACTTATCTCACCCTCCCCCGTTCACCTCCCCAGTCACCGACGACAGTGAGCTTTGTTTTGTAATTTCCGACGACATTGTTTTGCGATTTTCGATTAATTCACTCACCAGAAATCGATGTCGTTGCCATCATTCCACTCACCGGCCATTCCTTTTCAAATGCCCTAATATTTCAACCTTCAATTGTTCACGGATTGATGTCCTAATTTCTAGGTTTTGAATAAATAAAAAAATTTGTAACTGAACATTGTAAAGGCGATGGTCACGGTTGAACCGACTAGGCCAGGCCAAGTTCCTAATCACGGATTGAAATGCAGAAAAGTCTTAGATTTTTAATTTTCAAAACTAAATTCCAAATAAGAATAGAATATTCAATAGGAATTGTGTACTTTTAAACATTCAATACATTCTGATTTTAATAGATAATTACTAAAATAATCTTAGAAATAAAATTAATATTACATATAAAAATTATTTAAACAAGATTACAATTATATTCAATAAAACCCATATAATTATTTAGTTGTCTATCAAGTCCTCACGTGAAATATGAACTAAGCTTATACATAAACCTACACGTTGATTCAAACTCAAGACTTTTGGCTTTGATATCATGTAAGCAATCGCTTTACTAAGTTGACATTAGCCATAGAAGAGAAAAGGGAAGTTTTGTGACTGCAGTTTCGAAACAACTTAACAGAAGATTGAACTGCCTACAAAAGCAACAAAATTCAGAAGCAGGAACCTCAAAACAGTCATTAGAGGAGTATGAGATTTGAGAATGAAGAAGTACAAACAAATTATGTGCAGTGTTCATTAAGTAAATGTAGGAGTCTTCTTCTTCACAACTTACATGTACAAATCAAGTAACCAAAATGTTACACAAGAAATAGTGATATATATATATATATAATTTTTTTTTTCTAGACGTTAGAAATGTAATTGACCATCACCTAAACTATAACTAATCGACATCGATTAGCAGTAAACATAACCTAACTACCAACTAATTTCCATTTCTATCAATCTTCCACATTCACAATGCTACATAAAATTTGGTTATTTCACCAAAAGGGACACACCTTTCTTGGCTCTATATATGCTACAAGCTTCTCACCTCTGGTTTCAGTCAGCCTGCAAGGGAAATGATAAAGACGCTCTCGCTTAAACATTTCAACCATTCCCAACAGCTTGATTATTTCGAAGATAATACAATCTAATTGACTAAGATTCAACCATTTGGCCAGAAAAGTTCTTAGAAACAATTCATTTGAATAATGAAAACTGCAGCATTTAATGAAAAATGTCACACAGTAATTGTTAAGTGTAACTGCAAAGTAGCACATCTAATTGAATAGATTAAATGTCTTAAAGCAAACATTCAAGGTCCTTTTTTAAGAATAAATTAAGGCGAGGGACGACCGCCAATTTCAGACATTAGAATCACTACATCAGCTTTGATTACTTTTTATATGTCCGTTCCCATTCCAAAACCTGGGACATAATCATTCTCATTCTTAGTGTACAAGGGACAAACTTGCCACTTCTTTTAGTATATTACCAACTTGAAACTTTCTTTATCTCTTATATACGTTTCAAGAGGAGAGTGAAAGAATGAGGAATAGAGTGACTAAAAGAGTGTTATTAACAACTCTTTCAATAAATTCATATTTCTAAGAACCGCAATATTGAATATCTTGAGATACACAAGCTTTGGGAACAAAGACACGATAAACTGTAGCACTAGAGCAATGAAACTGAATGGAGACTAACGGAGAATAGCAAATAAATAAAGTCATTATAAGGATGCAATGACACGTAGAATTATTTCATGAAAGATAGGGAGGTTGTTTAGGTAGGTTACGGACATACTATGAATTCTCTCAAAGTCACACTGACCACAGTGACAACAATGTATCTGACCGTCTTTCGACAGCAGGAGAAACAACAGTGACTCAGGTTTTCGGTTTGTTAAATATAAACTCATGCAGATTCATACTTCCAGATGCAGAAGTATATTCTTGGCATTTTAAATCAAAAGTCCTAAATGGTTGTTTCTCCCATATTTTTAGTACATTATTTCAACCAACCAAACAACATTGCCACTTCATCGGACCAGAACCATCCTTTTGCCTTAAACTAAGCTAGCTTCATAAATTTTTGCAACATGTCTTTTTATAGTGCTTATTTTTTACCTGACACAACAATACAAAGCTTTTAATTCAGTCACATCAGGAACTTAACAGAACTGCTCTCCGGAAAACAGAAATAAAGAATGAAGCTTTAGTGAATAGTTAATTATAGCAACACTGATAATTGATGAATGCAACAGGAAAGTGTATACTTACAGCTTTCACAGTTGCTCACGGATGTAGGCCATTGATTTCAACATGGAACCCAGTGTATCTCGTGACACTTGAAATTTCACCTCTGTTTCTCCTGAAGTTGTCTTTGTATCTTGCAGCTGAGTGCATAAATAATCAGCAATTAGTTAAAAATATTAGGCTCCGTTTGGTTCACATTTTTATGTTTTTGGCAAAAGTTTTTTGAAAAAAGTTAAAAAAAAGTTGAATTGAGCGGGTATTACGATGTAAGATTTACAAATTAATAAAATACCCCCTATGTTTGTTTTTTTACAAAACACCCCTATAATAAAACATTAAAAGTTAACAAAAACACCCCCAACCCACCCATCAAATACAGACAGCCGGCCACCACCACCTGAGGGTGGCCGGAGTCGCCGTATTGGTGCATGACCGGCTGGATCTTGCCGGTCGTGCGCCAATATGGCCATTGACGACCAGATCTGGCCGCATTTGCTCGTCAACGACGGCCAAAGATACGGCCGTCATTGATGGTCAACGACGACCATATGTTGGCTGTCGTTGACGTCTGGTTACGGCCAAAGATCTGGCCGTCAACGGCCAGATCTGGCCTTTTCCGGCCAGATCCACCATGGATCTGGCCGGAAAAGGCTAAATCAACGTACTACAGGCAAGATCCAACCGGTAGTGTGCCATCCTACCAGATTCCGACCAACTTCCGGTAGTGGTGGCCGAAATCTGGTATAATGTGGGCTTAGAGGTTTTTGCAATTTCGAAAAAAAATATTTAGGGGTATTTAATTAAATTAACAAATTTAGGGGGTTTAAAAAAAATTTAATAATATTGGATAATATTGTGAGTTTTTGGGCATTTTACTGTTTAACTTTTTTGAGAATACTAATAATATTATTCCCAAAAACCAACCAAACGGAGCCTTAATAACTTAATATCACCTCATCAAAAATTAAGAACAGCTCACACAAACAAAACCAATGATCAAATACCCAAAACGTTGTACAGACACAAGATGCAAAGCTCACTCATACATGAAGAGGGCTTAGCGTCAGCCTTATTTGAATCTTAGCAAGGGAAAAATAGATAGTGTTCAATTTCTTAATCAAAGACAATAAGAATGAAAATATATTAATAAATTTAAAGGTATTTCCTTTCATACAAAAATCTGATATAAAATTGAACTCAAGTTTATAGTTCAAAACTTCACACATATTTTAGAGTTTAAAAGTTGAAAGTTCACACCCATGTTCATGAAGCACATCATGATTCTCACACTGTAAAATCTTGTAGAACAATCAACTTAAATTGTTTCAAGTTTCCACTTTGGCACATAAAAGGACATACATAATTAGAAACAGAAGCCATTTACTAATCAGAAAAATGTTGGAGCTAGGAGCATGATACAAGTTATCATGCTCAACTGAAGTCGTCTTTTACAACATATAACATAGATATAAGAGAGAAACTGCAGACTTGAATGTGGCTCAAAAAAATCTTCAATCGCAATGAGAAATTAAAGAGAAAGTGAGATAAAACAAATATAAAAAGAGACAAAGACAGCTTTCAAAATAAAACTAATTCTTGTAAAATTATTTAGTTTGTAACGATAAATGCGAACTTGTGAAAAGTCCTAATATTTCACCAGATAAATGTGGTAATATGAGTTATCAGCATGAAGAATATTAATTTGATCACCAAAAAGGCTAATCCCCATAACATAGCATAAGAAGACTGCTAAACAATCAAGAATGTGCCATTTTTTTTAAGCTTGGAGAAACTTTGGAGTGAAATGTGGGACATCCTTTCTCTTGAAAAACATAGTCACTCCTGTATTTGTAAACTAAAAAATTTTTCTCACAATCTGAGTCGGTGCTGTCAATTAAAGAAAATCATTATATTTCCATAAGTACTGCAGATACGTACCAAGTTACCGACCAATAGAGATAAAGTTGTCACTATTCCAGATAAAAAAAAAAAGTCAATACTCGATCAGTGTCAGCTCGTAACCCAATAAAGTCTATCCTTCAGATATTGCAGCAAAATTTCATTTTGAAAGACTTATTAATGATTAGTATAGATTGGTGTTTGCGTCTGCTTTTTCCTTCCAAGGATTATAAATGTTAACTGTTTTACTTACCATTATATGGGTATGTTAAATAGTGCTCTCTTACAGAAAGAGTGTTCATAATTTCATTAAGTTAAAAAGAAAGAGGTTTTTTCCACCTGTTATGAAGCAAGAAATAAGACTTGGTTTAGTGGATCAATATAGCCCATCTGCACGTTTCAATCACAGATTTTTTTATATTTACAGAGGCATTAACCAACCCCTTAAACTCCAATCCAAAGATCATTGTATCTGAGAACAAGAAGAATACAAAGCAGAACCAAACATCCTTCTATTGTTTTTTAAGAAAAATTGATAATCAGCACTTACATTGGTCAACTTAAAATATTATCAAAAAAGACATATATGCCTAACAACTCCAACAAATTACAGAAATAATAGCATAAAATCATTCCACTTAAAGCAGATATATTATCTAACCTCCTAGGTAAAATCTGTTTAACTTAACGCAAAGAAGCTTCCAATTATTATGAATTTCAATGCACTGAAGCATCATTTTCTATTACTTGCTCAACTACCTTCCTGTTTCACTAATTCAACAAACTCAATATTCTTAAAAAGATACTGTCCTATGCTCAGTTAAACTGGTTTTGGGGTGACATAAAAATCCCCTTATACTGTTATTGCGACCAAATTGCAAATTTACAACAAAATCAAGTCATCTATTATCGCCTATCTTTCTGACAATCTGAATTATACTGTAATAGCAGGAATATTTGAAAAGTAACAGCAACAAGCAAAATAAAGCTTTTCCAAAATAATAGAACAATACAGTTAAAATTAACTAAAAAGAAAATGAAGACAAAATTCGAGTTTGCATACCTTCAGATTGATGACGGCAACCTTATTTGCTGGTGCTGAGAGTTGCTGACTGATGTAGGCCATGGATCTCAACATCGGTTCCAGTGTGACCCTTGTTAGTCTGAATTGTACCTCAGTCTCTCCTGAAGGATTCTTTCCATAATCTTGCAGCTAAAGAAGAATTACAAGACATTTAAAATACATACACAGACGATGTATATCGAAAGAAATCCACTCCAGTTATACTTGTTAACCGTAACATGTGCTTAATTCGTTTGAAGAAAAATATAAGCATATAATAAAGTAATTATCATTGAAACATCAAGGGAGACTGCATTTGTGAAAAGGTATAGGATAAGATTGATCTATTCCACAGTACAGAATGCACAGGAATGCATATTTGTTAACATTGCATAAACTCACTCAACTCTAAAAGCAGATGAACTGCATCTTGAATTCATCAAATAAAGGTCTCAAAACAATGCAAACAGTTAAGTTAATAAAAATAACCAGCACAAAGGCAATGAAAGGCATGAATACCTTCAAGCTGATGACAGCTACTTTACCAGCTGGGCTTGAATTTTTATTCTCTATCACCCACGTCATGGACTTGAAACAAGTGAGCACCACCTACATCAACAAACAATATCTAGATATTACCACCAAATACACAACAGTACCTATAAAATTTATTGTCATACTTCATACCGGGCTGTCGGGAGTGCCACAATCACGGTGAATAGACACAGGGGCCATACTGGGCTGATTCAAATCAGAAACATGAACCCCAGAATCATTTAGATTAAAGCGATGCGGCATTGTCTCTTGCCATGGCCATAACGATGGGACCATTTCAGGAACTGATGGAGAAGTTCTCTTGTTACTGTCTTCATGACCATTCCCAGATCCCTGAGAGCTTGGAGGTGTGACTTTAGCAACATTCTTCTTTACCACAGCAATCTTTTTCCCACCCTCTCTTAGAGCAGCAATTGCTGCATTGTAAGTCTCCACTGCTATTGCCCCTTCTTCAGCATATTTGATTGCTTCTCGACAAAGATTGTTGAAGCGTAAGGTGAGAGTCTCAATACCTTGTGTATCTGCGTTTTGGTCATCCAGCCCAATCCAAGATTTGGCATTCCTTGTCCATCGCTTTAATATATAATGGCTTGGAAGGGTAAGAACATTTGTTACTGTGAAGACAGTTAATATATGTCTACAGAGAATGCCTGAGTATTCAAACATTTGACAACTGCAAGTTGCTTTCATCTCTGAAACATTCAACGTGACTATGTAAGCCTTGTCATCATGTTCGTATTTTGCAACCCGAAATTTACTGACCACCCCATCACCCTCGATCTTATTTGCAGTATATACAAAAGTTTCAACTAGTTCATCCTGAAACTTTCCAAAAACTTTCTTGGTATAGAGGTTGGCTGCCTGTTGTTCCATTGGTGAGGGTGTCTTTAGCACTGGTGTGGTACAGATAGTATCATAATCTGCTTCTATTTCCTTTTCTATAGAATGTTCTAAAGCCCTTTCATACTGCTTAAAGAATAATGGAATGGTGGTCTGTTGATTCACAAACCCATCAAAGAAGGAGTTAACACCTTGGTTTGAAGAAAGTGCAGCAAAAAAAGTGCCTCGAAAATAAACTGGGGCCCACTGTCTGCGAGCATTGTATACTGCATGAAGCCACTCATTCTTTAGGAGGTCATATTTCTCAAGGAGACAGCACCATGATGACTCAAAGTCCTCAATTGTCTCAGAAAAGTTTATGCAGCTATACAGTTCGCCATAGAAGGATGGATGAGAAAGGTAGATATGAGCCAGCCTTTCTTGGCCTTCTCTCAAGATATGCCACTTGCAAATGCAATGACGAGTAGCTGGGAACACCTGAGCAACAGCTACTTGTATGGCCCTATCTTGGTCAGTGGTGATAGAGACTGGAGGCCGATCATTCATTGCAGAGAGCCATGTCCTAAATAGCCATGAAAAGGAAGATTCTGACTCGTCTAGAAGTAATGCACAACCAAACAGAACCACATGACCATGATGATTTACACCAGTGAAAGGAGCAAAGGGGACCTGATACTGATTTGGTCTATACATTGTGTCAAAAATAACTGCATCGCCAAAGTGACTATAAGCTATCCTTGATCTGGCATCAGCCCAGAAAACATTAGTCATGCGGTTCTCATCATCAAGTTGTATTGCATAATAGAAGCCTGGGTTTTCAGCCTGCACCTTCTTGAAATAGTTAAGAAGATTTTGGGCATCTTTTCCCAGGGTTCTCTTTCGACCAGGAGATCTAAAATAGTTTACAGGGGAAAAATTTCGAGCTGCACGATTTGATTCTACAGGGGAGACATTCCTTATATGATTTGTTTCATAAGATACATGATTTCCATCCACTGTAACATAAAGATCATTTGAGACGTCCAGCGATCCAGAAGAATTCTTCGCAGCACCAGCAAAATGTCGACGAGGTCGAAGGTATTGAACCTTATTAGAAGTCGCCATAGAATGGTTATGGTCCTCCACAAACTTCGTCAAAATCCATTTTTCTGAATCATTTCTCTCTATCCTAAGCATCGCATTGCAGCTTTCGACATTCTTTCTCTTAAACACTTCCCTGGAACATGCAAACTCCCAAGTTATAATAGGGCCATCTGGCTTAGCACGGGTAAACTGACCATTTTGGGTGGCAAAACCCATAAGCTTGGCATAAGCCTCGTATAAGGTCTTGGCAGCCTCTTCTGAGTCAAATTCCATGCCGAGGCATGGTTTAGAACTCTGATCATCATCGCAATTTCTAAGCTCTTCTGAAGAATTTTCAGTTACAGGGTGTCTCTCTGACTTATCAGGTTCAGCATTTGTTGCCACATAGTCATCACCTTTTTCTCCATCCGCATCTACCACTGCAACATCCATCTTTGTTGCTTATTAGATATGAAAACCAATACTTCCTTTTTCTCAGCAGGCTATAGCCACTGCCTCATGCTTATCCCAAATTCAGCAGAAGCAGAAACAGCCTTCATTTAAAAAATACCTATCTGTAAATGTTCATACCCAAATGGAAAAAATAAAATAAATAAATAATAGTTGTGAAAGTCAAACAAAAAGAAACATCTAAAACCAAACTTTAAAGTCTATGAACACTAATTGTAGAAAGCCAGACTTTAAAGTGTATTGCAGCTCATCTAAACCCCAGAAAACAGGGTAACAGTTCTTCTTTTCGCAATGCCAATAGCATCTCCCAACTATCTTAGGTAATAGCTCCAATCCAACACTCAGGCAGTATTTTTTTCTTTCTATCATGATAAACCACAAAAAGTATTCTAAAAGAATTCGAGGCTGCATTTTGTTGCTGGGACTGAGACCCTAAAATTGGAAATGAAAGAATAAACTCCAACTCCGTATTTTTCCAACTGCAACTTGTTTCCAAATCTGCCTGTGTGTTTAACTGATCTCATAGTTCATTGATTACAATCCACAAGTACAACACTGCTAGAGGCCTAAATGTGATTTATTATCAATACTTAATAATCAATTCCAAGATTTTAACGTATCCTATTGATAATTATTAGAAAACTAAAGCAAAATACTTGACCAGTGAGACTCATGGATAAATTCTCAAGATACCTTCAATTAAGCACTTAAAGATAAACTACTCAACAGAATTTTCACTTTTGAGTTACAAAAATGGACCTAATTTTGCTTCCTAGAGCAATCAAAACACTTCAAGAAATGCAAACAATGCAAAGCCTGAACATAATCTTCGTTGCCACAAAATTAACTTAAAAAGTTGTAATTACAAAATTGAAATAGCACAAGCGGCAAGATCAACAATGGCAGACAAAACAATTCCCTACAATCTGAAGAACAAAAAACAGAACCACACTCCAAGATAATGCTAAAACCACATTTTTGTTTCCAAAAACAAACCAACTCCAACTTCAACTTCAAACACTGACAACCCTCACTTCCCATTTCAGCATCAACATCTCCAGAGGAAGAAACTTTCTACTCATTAGCCATAAAGAACAAGAACCCACTAAGAAACTACAAAAACAAACCAGAAAAATAATTAAAAAAAAGAAAAAACTGACCTGAGTATGTGAATAAAAGAGGTGAAAAGTGAATTGAAGTGAAGTTCGAGAATCGTGTAGAAGTGGGTAAGTGAGGGGTTAGGGTTTTGAGTTAAAAAGGGAAAATTTTTGAAGGTGAGTTGAGTTGGGAGTTGAGTTTGAGAGGAGTCTTTTGTCTGTGCGTGAATGTTGTTTGAGTAGGACCCGTCGATCCCAGAAATGACATCAACTCCTTTCTTGTTTGATTGTTATTACTTTTGTTTTCTTGCATTTTCACCCCCACCTTTCTACTGTAACTTTTTCTTTCGCTTTTGATAGGGCTTCCCATTTGCTAGGTATCTTGATAATCTTTGAAAAATTTTAATAAAATCCAAAATTTTGAGTTGGACTTTAATATTTTTAGTTTGAAAATCAATTTTAGAGTTAAAATTAATTAATTAATTAAAAATTACTAAAGAATATTTACTTTGAAAATTATAGGGTTAATTTTATTGGCCCATGAGGAATCCTTAAATCTCAAGCATTATAACGATTTAAAATTTTTTATCAAAAACCTCTCAATTTTTTAGTTTTTTTTTTTTTTTTATGTTTTCAAAGTTTTTATTATTAGTATTATTGATTTTATGGATATTTAATTAGTGTTCTTAAAACTATTGGATGTTTAAATCTTAACAATCTCTCGGCAAATGAAATTAATCTAAAATTAATTTCTAAAAATTGCTTTGAAAATGATTATGATAAACCTTGTTTTGATAAATATCTTTATATTTTTTTTTCAAAAACGAAAAATGGTATTTAAATTCTAAATTAAATGATTCAATTATATAACATTAGGCCTACATTTACTCCTAATCTTAAATTTGTGTTATTATAAATTATGATTTTATATATAAAATGTATAATGATGATCATGTATATGAGAAATTAATCCTTATGTGGTTTAAAATACATAATAATCAGTTAAGAATGCATTTAATATTTATTCGAAAATTAATTTTAAAGTAAAACATTTGTTAAAAAAAAAAAAATCAACCCTTATATAATTGTTGTATTAAGAAAAAAATGATTTCTGAGTTTTTCATAATTATGTACCATCAAATCAAATGACTGAATTAAGATTAAATTAATTGAGGGACAAATTGAAAATTTAATTGTGTTTAACTTTTAAAAGCATTAATCAAATCACGTACAAAAAATCTATGAAAAGAGGTTTAAAAGATAATTTTAAAAGTACTACTAAAAAAATATGTTGTACTACTTTTAAATGACAAGAATACGAGATTGGAAATTTAGAATTAGGGCCGGCTCAAGCCTTACTTTGGGCCTCGTTAAAATACTTTTGTTGGAGTTTGAGTAGGCAAGAGGATCAAAATAAAAGAGACTCTGATATTTTTTAGAGGGTAAAAGAGATAATTAAAAGGGTGTTGGAGTATACGCAAGAGATATCTTTAGATAAATTAAATTTAATTATATTGAATGATTTTGAATCGTGAATACATCACCTATTTGTATAAAAATTTAACTATATAATAAGAAAACATAATATGCAATAATGTCTATAATTTCCTAGGATAAGAAAACACAGTATTGTTTCACAATTAAGGAAACATATAAATTGCATTCTATTTTGCACTCTGACAACTTTCATTAGATTTTAACTTTTATTAAAATATTTTCAGATTAATAATTACTATTTTCGAAAGTAAAATTTTGGTATTAAATAATTTTTCCTTTGTTGAAATTTAGAACACGTAACTTTATATTTATATTGTTGAAATTTAGGACATGTAACTTTATATTTATATCGACAAGAAAAATTTACAAAAAAGACTTAAATAACACCACTCTTTTAGTTATAAATATTGGAACATATTAGAGCGAAGGAAAATTCCTGAGGTAAGAACGTCCTTAAATTTTTAATATGTAAACCAAAAGTGAGTATTTGGTTACAGACTTTTAATTTTAGTTTTAGGGTTTGTAAAGTTAGTGACTGAGAATTCAAATTTAGTCAACACGTTTATAAATTTAAGGACATCCTCGTTAGAGATTGACTATTAGAGCTAATAGAAGGAAAATTTGTCTTCGGATTGCTATTGTAAATTTTGTTTCGATTATTTTATTTTTATTTTTTTAAATGAATTATTATTGTTTTTCAAGCTAGTGTCATAAATGTCAAGTCTGGAGATTGCAGACAAGTGTATTGCTTTACATTTTTGGGCCCAACATTTACAATGAGGCATTTTGGGCTTTTTTGTCTACTCATTGGGCCCAACTCTTATTGAAACTTTTTGTGCTTTCCCCCATCTATATTAAACCTTGTTAGCACCTACACATTTTTTATAATTAAAAAAAAAAAAAAAAAAAAAAAAAAAAAAAACTTTTAACTCCATTTGATACTGAAAATGGTCCTCTAAGTTCAATTAGGTTTATTTTTTCCAATTTTAAATTTAATTAAGTTTTTTGTTTTACACTCTTTTCTCTCATTCTCAAACGTAATTAGGTTTTCCGTTTACACCTCTTTTTCTCAAATTTCCTAATTTCAAACTTAAAACTTACTTTTTTGTTCTTCATAAATTTAGATTCACCTTATTGTGTTGTTACTTTGTTCATAGCTTTAGTATTAGATTTTCATCAAACAACAAATTTTTGAAATAAAATAAAATGTTTTAATTGATTATAAAAATTTAAAATTTTGAAATAAAACAAAATGTTATAATTGATTATAAAAATTTAAGGTTAAAGTTTACGCAAGATTAAATGTCAAAACATATGTATTATTCTTTATTTGATAAGAAAGAAGACTTGACCAGCTAACGAACGTGGACAGCCAAATAGACTTAAGACATAATTTGTTGATTATATAAATAGATTAGAGTAATAATTAAGATTATATTAAATATATGCTAATTGTATAATTATTTTAATCGAATATAATCTTACTCGTGAAAGGTTCATTTTTAATATATTGAGACTGCTTATTGATCGTGCCCCATGCATGCACTATTATTTCTATATATTTTTTTAAAAGTTTATGTTTGAACGAAGTCTTTGAATCACTAAATGAAGAAACTCTTTTAGGAATTTGGAAATAATTAAATAAGACATGTTGGATAAATCAATTAAGAATGGCACATGAATTGCTTACTTAATAATACAGTTATTAATATAGCAACGTGATTACAAATTTATTTTAGGATAGATTTAATAATACATTTTTTTTCTTTCAATAATGCTTACTTACAAATATTAATCAGATTTTTTATTTATTTATTTTAAAAGCAACCTCCCACTACTACTAGCAATGGTTTTTATTAACAGACTAACTAGCACATACAAATAATCACCCAAAACATTTTAGGGGCGTTTGGATTATATAATGTTTTATTATAGGAGAATATTATATTAACGGAATAAAATATCACCTTGAAGATTATTCAGAATGTTTAGAAAATGTATTTAGTTGATTCGAATAAATTGATAAATAATATGTTTGGTTGGGAGGATAAATATGTTGGTATGTTATATAGATTACTTAATTACCCTCCTTTTTAAATATTAAAATAATAGTATTTTTTATTATATTTTTTGAATAATTCTTTTAACCCCCTACTTTTCAGATTTAGCACAAACACCTTACAACCAAAAATGTTTTAAACTTAACAAAAACACTCATACCCACCCCAAGCCACTGTTAATAGTCAGCCACCACCGTCGGCAGCCGCCAACAGTGCCACATATCTGGTCGTGGCGCCGGTACTGCCATAGATCTGGTTGTTTCACGGCTAGATCTATGGCTGTTTTTTTATCCATGGTCGGAAAAGACCTCACCGGCGCGATCCATGGTGGCTGGCGGTGATGGCTAGTTTTAGGTACAATGACATTTCTGTAAATAATGAAAATAACAAGGACAATGTTGTCCGAAAAAATTAAAAAGTGAGGGCAAAAGGGTCTACATGAGTGAATGGGTATTTTGTAAATCGTAACAAATATAAGGCTAATTTGGACCAAATGCTCAAATGTTTAGAGGCAATATGAAAAACAAAATTGGATTACCTTAGGTAAGTTTTAATAATAGCCCCCCCAAGGTATCAATATTCTCGGCAACTTACCCTCCAAATGCTATTGTTTGTCATAAAAGATTTTGGGAATAATTTTTTACAAATCAACTAAGCATTGTCATTTGCTCAATTTAAAAAATATTATCCCAGTTATCTAATATTACCCCCATCCAAATGGGTCTTTCAGTAATTTTTTATTAATACAGTAGAACCTCTTTATGGTGATACTCTATATAGGAATAACCTTCATGTAGTCATACAAAATTATAATCCTAACTTGGACCAATTATAAATAAGAATTAAATTTCACATTATAATAAGTTATAATTTTTCTAGGTCTTGTCTTAAGGAACTCGCCTCTCTCTCTCTCTCTCTCTCTCTCTCTATATATATATATATATATATATTGCAAAAAATATATATTATGTTACATTAAAGGTTTAAGATGAAATAAAATATTTATCCAAAGTTGTTTAGGACAATGATTTATGCTTTAGAATTGTTATCACATTTTTTATCTTGCAGGTACGTAATAAGTCGTCAGTATGAATACCTTCTTGTTGAAGTCAAAATATTTTTAGCTTCTCAAGCATGTTTAGAGCTTTTTGACACGAAACTTTCGGTATTTCCGTACTATCATTCTCAGGATTATCTCTTTCCTCTTCCTATTTAATTCTAGTAAATATTTCTTTTTCAGTTAAAGCATACATGACTTGTTGCTCATTTGGATGATTAAGGAAGATATTAATATCAATTTGACTAGTGTAGCGAAGTTGAATCTGATAACTCAATTTTACAATGACTCTTTGATATCCATTTCTGTATTATCCTAATGCCATTAAAATAATAAATTGAAATTCTAATACTATTAAAACATGAATTATAAAATAAGAAATCAAAACTATAATTATCGTAACTACACACCTATTAAATTATAACATTTTCATAGTAATAAATTTAATTATAATTATAGAGAGGTTCGACTTTGGTTACAACTTACAAGAAACCGAGGTTGTTGTTGAATTAGATGATGGCCACGAACTTGATAACGAAGACGACGACAGTAACCTAACTTTCTCAGCTGTCTCAACGCTATTATCCTCCATGTTCCCATCAACCAACACAGTCCATGATGTTTGTTGCCTCGTTGCTGTTGTTCATGTTGTTTATCTCGTTGAACATGAAGTCTATGTCCTCATCGAATCCGGTTTCATCAAATATGTCGGGGAGGAGATCGTAGGCGCCATTTCTGAGTGAGAAATCGGGAACCGGAAGCGACCTTAGTCCCGGATTGTCTAGACAAAAACTCCAAGTGAGCTCATGAATATCCTCGTATTCATGATGTTGATGGTCAATTAAGACTACTGGCGACGAAACAATGGCGTCGGCGTCGGCAATGGCGTCGACGTCTTGTTGTTGTTCCGGGGGTTGTGGTTGTTCGACCTCCGTTTCAGCATTTGCGCCTCGGTATTCAATGGCTGCCATATCATAAGCTGCAGCGGCTTCCCCTTGTGTATCTAGAAGACGACAACAACAACAACAACAAACAAAAAAAGCAAAAAAAAAAAGTTAAAAAGGTTAAAAAAAGGGATGGAAATGAACTTTTATGAATGTTTTATAAAAGCAGATCAAAGCATATAAAATAATTACAAGTCACGTGAGGGAGTGGAAAAAATAGTCCATAATTAGTAAAGATACTGATGATGTTGATTCAATGATTCTGCAAATTATTTATTTTAGTTCGAAATAATATTTAAAAGAGAAAGTGTTGCGATATGGTCCCCTTGGATCTGTGGGGTGCATGATGGGGGAGAAAGTACATTAGTGTACTCTATTTTCAGACTGTTTCTTCTCTAACTAATCTATTCTCTGCCTTTTCCATCTGGGAAAATTTCAACAATTTTGGTAATATATTATATATATATAATAATAAAAGGTTATATGAAAAAAAATTAAAATAAAATGTTTGGTATATATTAAGTGTCGTGCTATCGACAGTCACAATTGCCATTGTTGCTAATCTTTTCATGTCACGTGCCCAAACTAAATATAATGTATATTTTGTTTTATTATCGAACTCAACCGTTTAGACTAACACCCAGCAAGAATATATAATATTGATTCGAAGCCACGCATTAGATTTAAACAAAGGAACGTGATTAGAAATTTATTTTACGATGGATTTAATATTACTTTTTTTTCGATAATGCTCACTTACAAATATGAATTAGATTTTTTTTTTAAGGAAAAAAAAAAAAAAAAAAAAGTAAAATCCAACCTCCCACTACTACTGGCAATGGTTTTTCAATAATCTCCCAAACACTTCCAGTAAATGTTTATAATAGTTACAACTTACAAGAAACCGAGGTTATTGTTGAAGAAGACAATGGCGACGAACTTGATAAGGAAGATGACGACGAGGACGAAGACAGTAACCTAACTTTCTCAGCTGCCTCAATGCTATTATCCTCCATGTTCCCCTCAACCAACACACATTCCATGATGTTTGTCGCCTCGTTGTTGTTGTTCATATTGTTCATCTCGTTGAACATGAAGTCTATGTCGTCCTCAAATCCAGTGTAATCGAATATGTCGGGGAGGAGATCGCAGGCGCCATTTCCGAGTAGGAAATCGGGAACCGGAAGTGGGCTTAGTCCCGGATTGTCTAGTCCGAAACTCCAAGTGAGCTCATGAATATCCTCGGTTGTGTCCATGTATTCATGATGTTGATGGTCAATTAAGACTACTTGCGGCGAAACAATGGCATCTGCGTCGGCATTGGCGTCGACGACTTGTTGTTGCGGTTGTTGTTGTTCATGTTGTTTTTGTTCTGGTTGTTGTTGTTCTGGTGGTTGTTGTTCCGGGAGTTGTGGTTGTTCAACCTCCGGTTCAGCTTCGGTTTCTTCGAATTGGTCGGTGGAGGATTGATGAGGGAAGATGCCTTTCTTCTTTAAGCGATCAAGGTAATGACTAATGTCAAAGTTGGTTACTGCATTTGCGCCTCGGTATTCAATGGCTGCCATATCATAAGCTGCAGCGGCTTCCTCTTGTGTATCTAGGAGACAAAAACAAAAAAACAAAGTTAAAAATAAAAATAAAAATAAAAACCCAATAAGATTTGATAATCTTTTGAGTCAAATCTAAGTTGGAAAATTAATCTAAATTGTGACACATGAGTCCTCGTGGGAGTCACTAATTAGATTGAAGAATGAAAGATTAGATCTTGGCTGAAAAAAGACTGTAAATCTCTCTTTTGACAGACTCAGATAGTCGTGGACGACGTGGAGAGAGGTGTCACGTGACATACTACATGCCGTTGAAGAAATACATGGAAATATTATTGTAATTACTGACTGATTACAGAGGGCTTAATCGTAGTTTTAATGGTTGAGATCTGAATTGAAGGCAACTGCTTACTGACAATCTCTCGTGCAACTGACTCAGATATCATGAAAAATGAGAAGTACCTATGATACTATTCAAACCTTGAGGGTTTGAATGAGTTTTTCCCCTAATATTAATGATGAAAGAGCCAGTTTCAAAGCAATACATGTGAGTTGTTCACCATTTCTTTTCTGTCTTTTTATTCAACTCACGACTTGTGTGGACAACGAGTTGTGTTTTGAAAGATTTTGTTTGTGTTTTCAAACCAAACAAGAAACTCAAAAAATGACAAAACAATATTATAACGTGGTGAACTGTTCAGAAATCCCCTCGCCACGTTTGCCTTGTTGACTAAAGCCGCTTATTCTTTAAAATGGGGATCCAGTATGCCAAAATTTGGCACTATTTACTTTTCTTTTTTTTATAACTTAAAACTCGAGATTCTGTCTCATAAATTCATAACTTTTATACCATAAGAGTGACTGGAAAAAAAAATATATGCAAGAAATTGCGGTGAGAAATGGAGAGAATTAGAGCTTACTATAAGTTCCGAGGTACAAATATTTATTTCCAAAAACTCTTCCGATTCGAGCTTCCCAGCGTCCATTATGGTGATGCCTACCGTCAAAGTTAATAAATTAACAAGGGTTTTTGATTAATTAAGAGAGGTGCTTAATTGTCTCCATTAATTAATTAAGCACCAAATTAGGGAATTAATTGATTGATTAATTACCTGGCCACGCCGCGGTATTTAGAAACTCCTCTAGAGAAGCCGCTGCTACGTCGTCGTAGAGAGGCCAAGTATTCTTCCTTGGATACCTTCTGCATTTCTTCGAGCTCCTTTTTGTACGTCTCTATCTGCAATTAATTACAAGAAAATTAAATAAAACACACAAATAATTAGTAAATAATTAAATTTTGTCAAAAATAATACTCAATGCGTGCTAGTAAAATTATGAAGTACTCAAGAATAAATTAAGTCATAATTAGGAAATTAGGAATCTGTACAGCAAAATTCAATGTCGTTTCTGGTCCCCAATACTTCAAAGCAGCAAGATCATAAGTTCTAGCCGCAGTTTCTTCACAATCATAAGCTCCTACAATAAAAAAAATAAAAATAAAAAACAAAAAATTATAATCAGAAAAATAACGTTTTTGAATCTGGAAGTGTTCGAATTCCAGGATTTGAATTCAGTATATCCGAGTTTACGGTTCATTCCGTCTCCCGAATTTGTTTAATGTGAACAAGAAAGTAGAAACACGACGAAGTAAATAATACGAAATGGAGATTGATTGAGATTTGTGAAGAATATTTAAATAAACTGGACTTACCCAAATAAACTATGGATGGTGGAGGTGAACGTTACAATGACAGAGAGATTACCAGGAACAAAACATAGTCAGTAACATAGGAAAAAAAAATTAATTAATTAAAATAATAAACAAATATTACAGATCTCCTTGATTTTGTTAATCTTCTTAATTAATGGAATAGAATTTACCTTGTCGCCCCTTCTTGTTCTGAATGTTGTTCCACGAACTCTTGTCCCAGAGATGAGCTTCAAACCTCCCCGTCCATCTATGCCTGTTCACAATTACTCAAAGATTAATTAACATGCATTGAAATGAAGATTAATTAATGCTTAATTAAGTAATTAACCTGGTGACTCCTCTATAAATGGAGCTTCGTCTTCCTGATAAGTTTGGAGTAGTCTGGCATTTCTCTTTTGTTTGGTTTTTTCTCGGCCGCTTGATCTTTGGTTTAACTGATTGATGATGATCAGGAAGAACAACATCAGAACTTGAAGAAGAAGAAGAACAAGAACTAGAAGGAGACCTCTTCATTTACTTGACGAAACTTTAATTCGTTACAATTTCGTCCCCTTTGGAAACTCTTTGAATAAAAAGAGGAGTTAAGTCAAGTAGGTTTTAGAAGCGAAGACTTTTGGTGAAATGGCAACCAAAAGTGGTTTACCAAAACAAGGAGAGACAGAAAGAAGGAGAAGGAGGAAAATATTAATGGGGAAGTAAAGGGGAAGGCAGCTAAAAATAGAGGTGGAAAAGTTAAACCAGGGTTAAAGGAATGGGGGTTAGGTTAAGTAACTCAGGGTTAAGAGGTTAACACTTGGCCGAGGGTGCAGCCATGCTACCAATGGGATGTATTGTCTAGGTTGGCTTTCTATGTATGTTTTAAAGAATCATTTTAAAATTCATGAATTTTTGAAAAACTTTTTATTTTATTTTTATTTTTATTTTGTAGAGGAAGAGGAAGACAGAGTGTTGGTTGCGGCTGACAAGCTTTGTATTTTTAATGCCGACAATTTAATCACTCGCTATTAATTAATTAGTCAATTAGAAGTTTGAACAGGTTTATAGTATATTTAATTTATCACTTAATTCTTATTGTATTATTGTAATATAATCATGTTATTTCAAAATTTGATATATAAAATCAAGTTCAAGCGATACAATAAATAGAAATTAATATTATAAATTAAGGGATATAACCAATTTAAACTATTTTCTTTTTCAGATTTTAGAACGTTGAGTTTTTTCGTCAATTTGTAAAATAAATTACTCTAAATATCATTATACAAAAAATGTATTAAAAATATATATATTTTTTTTCTCTAATGTATGATTTCATATAAACTATAATTCATGTATTTTTTCTAACATGTAATTTCTTATAAACTATTATATATTTTTTCAAGGGGGTGGAATGAAAAACATATATTTTATCATTAATAAACATATAATATATATGTATGTATCATTATATATATATATATATTTTATTGGACTAATTTATTTTAATAAAATTATTTGTGAGTAATTTGATGGTATGAGAAATTGTATTAACAAAAAATGAAAAACATGTTTGGAGTGTCATAAGGAATAAAGTATATTTATGTATTCTGTTTTGTTATTTAAATATTAAAAAGCTATATCACTTACATGTATAAATATAAAATATAAAGAAAATCAATTACTTAAGATTCAAGAAGTTTAATAGTGCTCACGTGATAAATTAAACTTATTTTAATTTTTCTTAAGAGAAAAATGAAAAAAATGAGACTTTAATTTAAAGGAAGAGGGTAGATATTATTTAGATAAATTATTTCTTTTTATAGAAAATATATAAAGAATGAAGAATAAAAAAAAAAAATTGAAATTGGATGGCATATTTTACATGATAAAATATATTCCCCAAAATCTTGGCTTGTCTATTGCCCAACCAAAGCCCCCCTCTTAATTAGTCCCTAAATATAAGTAAAAAAACTTTGTTATAAATGAATACTAAACAATATAAAAAAAAAAAATTCATTAAAATAAATAGATTATATTATCACAGATAGATGATGGTTTTTAAAATAAATTTACATCCTATAAAAATATAAAAATACAGTATATTATAAGGTGGTATTTTAAATTAATAAAAAGAATAATTACAATGAGTGGTATGGAAGCCTGTGAAAATGTCAGTTTGCTGAAAAAGAAGTGACGTGGAAGGAGGAATCTGAGGTGTCGGAATGATAGTAATGTTAGGAAAGTCATCCACTTGTAAGTTGTAACCATACATATGAATAAACCAAACAATTAGGTCGTGTGTGTTTTAATATTTATATTATGTTCTACTCCTATTTCATTTAAAATACATATTTAGTTTCTATTCTGAAAATCTAATTCTATTTTAATCAATTATTTATAAATCTTTAGATTTGTTAATTTAACTAAATTTAGAAATTGACAAAAAAACACATATATCTATCTATATTTGCTAGATTCCTACCACCACTAATAGAAGGTGACCAAAATTTAGCGTAATGATACACTAACGTCTGTATCTTGTGCACTGATTTAACCTTTTTCGATCAAATTCACCATGGTTCTGACAAAAAAAGATCAGATCTACGATTACAGCTAGATCTTTGGCCATGGTTGGTCATCAACGAAAGCTATATTTTTTGCTGTCGTTGACCAAATGTGGTTTAATAATTATTTCTCAACTATTCTCAGCTTTCGAGAAAATATCTATAAAACCTAAAATTATGAAAAATAATCCATAATTTATCTCAGGTTTAACAAAATTATCTCTATGGTTTATTTTTTGTTCACCCCTAGTTATCTCCCTCTTTGCATGAAATCTAATGGTCAAAATTTAATATAATTAAGAAAAAAAAGGGATGATTTTATAAAATGTGACAGAAGGGATAATTTCTAAATAAATCTGAGGATTTTGTTAATATTTTCTTAAACATTAGGGATTCAATTATAAGACAATGAAGCAATTGCAAAAATACAAAGACTAAGAACAAAAACTTTCATTTGTTCTTTTGTCAAGAAACTCACAAATGAAATGCGCCTCTTCAATGACAATCACCTGTTTTATATGTCAACGTATTGATTTCCTTAACTAGGTGCTATCAAACAAATTTTAAAATGATAAAATACATTTAATTGAATTGAAAAATTCGTAATATATACCGTAAATTAACAATTATATATATAATATTAAACATACAAACTTTTATAATAAAAATCATTTATTGATTTGATAATTTTATTTTATTCTTCCAATAATTCAATAAAGAAAACCCCATTTTAAAATTTTTATTTGAAGCTGAAACTGATGACTTGACAAAATAAAATTATCTTCACATTATAAAGTACAAAGTTCAGATCACATAATTATATAATCAAATGAATGAGATATTAATTTTTTTCTATGCTAATTAATAAGTTAAATAACTTAATTTTTTGGATAACTTAATTACAAAAAATAGGTCGAAATCATACAACTGGTCGATTTAATTGAGTTAATAGTACAATATATATATATTCTTTTGATCATATGCCTATATTTCACGTCTATATCAATACTATATTTTGGATGACCTCATAAGCCTATTGAAATCACTTTTTAATAACGACTTGACTTAGAAATAAGAAATAAACACATTTTTACAAAGACTAGCTCTTTTAGTTATTGGATAATTGGTTATGATAGTTAAGTATACGAAATTTAGGTTTGAATATTACAATTCGAACCCATTAGAGTATATTAATTTTGAATTAAGTTAGAAAATGACAATACAATAAACAACATGATTTTGGTGTGGATCACCAAAAAAAAAAAAAAAAAAAAAAAAAAATTTACTAGGGTAGCTTAGGATTTTTTTCCTTGATTTAGTTAGAGTTTTTTTTTTTTTTTTTTTTTTAATATTAAATTATTAGGTTTTAATATAATTTACTCTCTATTAGCTTGTATGTGTCATTAGACGTCCAACACTTCAAATTACATCTTTTTACTATATATATCCGTAATATTAAACTTGAACTTATTGGATAAGTACAAATTTGAAGACATTAATGTTATCTTAAGTTTGAATGTGACCACTCAACTTGATTAGAATTTTTGGAATAAAACGAATAACAAGACAAAATAATTAAGATTTTGATTTTGGTGTGTTATTTCCATTAGAGGAAATATTTATATTTGAAACGAACAGTTTGATTCATTACTTATTATTTCTAACCTAGTTTCATCAATATTTTTAAGTCATTAGACAATTTATCTTAAGCTTTTCTTTAATCAAAGATCTACGACTTGTTGATTTGTGATTTAAAAATATTTTTAAAAACAAAATCGACAAATTTTTAAGTGAACTTAATTTTTTTATATATTCGAAAATTTGACTAATATAAAATTTAAAAATTGTTTTTATATTAGAAGCTATTGAAAACATGAAAACGACTTTTAATCATTTTTTAATTTCACACTAATTTTTAGGATGTATTAAAAAATTGTTTTTGAAACACTTTCTGCTCATTTTACTAAATGCATTTTCATAAGATTTGTTATTATCTTTTGTTTAAAAACAAAATACGTGTATTTAAATTCTTTATCATACGGACCTTAAGATTCAATAAAATAAATATTAATTAAAAATTAATGACTCAATATTTTATGTTTAGTCTTTCCAATAAATAAGCCCTCCCCTTAACATTTAATTAATTATATTTAGTTCAATGTTTATTCTTTAATCTAATTATCTTTTGAACTAAATTTTATGAAAAGAATTTATAAACATTCGAATAATGCTATGGATACAAGAAAAATGAATTATATAATTCGACGTGATGCAATTTTCTTCAACATAATACTAAACAAACCAAATTTTATATAAAATCATTTATTGATTTGACAATCTTACTTTGTTCTTCCAATATTCAAGAGCCCCCATTTTAGAATTTCTATTTGAAGCTAAAGCCCTACGTACTATGTCAATGCTTATTTGGATGACCTGATTTGTCTACAAAGGTACTCTTTAATAGCTCATTGATTAGAATAAAAAATAACACCTTTAAACAAAGATATAAATCTCTTTTAATTATTGAATAATTGGTTGTGATAGTTAAGTATACGAATTCAGGTTTAATGGTACTATTCAAAGATATTAGAGTATATTAATTTTGAATTAAGTAAGAAAAGAAAAAATGACAATACAATAAACAACTTGATTTTGGTGTGGTTAAAAAAAAAAAAAAAAAAAAATGTAGGGTGAGGTACTTGATGAGGCTATTTACCTCATTTAACTTAGGATTGTTTCGTTATTTGTTAGAGTTTTTTTTTTTTTTTTTTCTTTTCATTCATAATATTAATTTATTAGGTCTAAAATAATTTTTTTTTTTTTTAGTCTCTTAATTAAAACTTAATATTTAATCATTCAATATTCCAATGTTTAGTCTTTCAAATAAATAAGACCTCCCCTAATATTAACATTTAATTTAATTATATTTAGTTGAATTTTTATTCTTTTTAATGTAATTATACTTTTGAATGTAAATTTTATGAAAAAAAAATTCATTTATAAACAATTCGAATAACGTTATAGATACAAAGAAAAATGAATTATATAAATCGACATGATGCAATTTTCTTCATCACAATACTAAACATACAAATTTTTGTAATAAAATCAT